TCGAAAAATAGACCATACTGAGCTCGAGCGAGATCGTCTGGCACTCCCATACTAATCTCACGATCAAATCTACCAGCCCGCCGAAGAGCAGCGTCCAGAGAATCTGGACGGTTTGTTGCTCCAATGACAATGACAGGTTTGTTGTCCGTTTTCTCCAGTGATAAATCTAAGTACACATGAGCGAGCGCTACAGAATAGGGAAAAGTCGGCATACCATCCATACACGTAAGGAACTGGGCAACAATCCGCCTTTCCATTTCTCGCTGTGCGCTTTCTCTCTTGGGCGTGATTGCATCTATTTCGTCGATGAAGAGTATGCAAGGAGCTAGTCGCTGATGAATTAGGCGTCAGTACGTCAGGTCTGCTGCGAAAGAGAGCCGCGGACCATAGCATCCTCAAATGTCTCGCGCAATGTTTTTTCCGATTCACCTGACATCCCGGATACTATCGACGGTGCGGAAATACTGATGAACGGGACTCCAGCTTCCTACAAGAACCGTCAGACAGTAAGCGTAGATCTAGCAGGAAACACTCACCCCTGCAATTGCATGAGCAAGCAGTGTTTTCCCGCAGCCTGGTGGCCCATGGAGAAGTATACCTCTGGTAGGCTGGACACCAATGTGTAGGTATACTTCCGGATGCTTGAGAGGCATAATGACCAGTTCTCGCATTGTGTCAATAGATGAATCTGCTCCGCCGATGTCGGATGGCCGGGTTGTAGGAGGGGCGTAATCCTTGGATGGCTGGTTCCCTAGTTTGGGTCTTTTAGAAGTATCATCCATACCGCGGGTTGTTCTACTCTTCCGTTTGCCCGTGGTTGTAGGGACCACGGTCATAGATGAAGGTCCTTCTTCAAGGTCGACAGGTGGAGTGGAGCTCACATCGGGATTCACGGTCTCGTCTGAGATCCGTAAGTTGGATGCGTCTTCACTGGGTGTTGGTACAGGGGGGACTGCGACCAGAGGAACTGGGGGTGCATTCAAGTTGACTTTAGCACGGCGGTGTGCGGTCCACATTCCTTGCATAGATCTGTTGAGAGCATTTGAACTCTACCTAGCAATGGATGAGTGGACCACATCAGCATCACGGTCGCGTACCCACAGATATTTCCATGATGGCTTCAGTGTCGTTTGAGTATTGTATTCGTTGCTTCTAAAGCGTATACATTCGGAATGAGCGAAAAATATAAAGAGTGTTTAGCAGACATTAGGTAAACGCCTATAAAATTGGCGGCCCGGCGTCGCGGAACGTGCTCCGGACTTTGTCTCAAGATTCACATATGAAGTACAGTAACTCAGCACAAGAGATTTGTAGAAATAAGCTGTAGGACATAAGTGATACATAAAGTTACATGAAGAACAGATCAGAATCCTGCTACTCTATTCGAACGTCGCGGCGGTGCTCTCCTCCTCCTCGCTGAAGGTTTCTCCTCGACACTATCACGCCCATGAGAGCCCAGCTCCCAGACTTCTGGCGGCTTCTGGGTTTCCAAAAGCTTCATCAGCCGCAGCTTTTCGCTATTCTGAGCAGGGTCCTCATATGTAACGCGAACTGTGTCATCAATAACAGGACTTTCTGCTGCAAGCATGCTGACATCCTCTTCGGCGACACCGAACGGTTCGTAAGGATCCTGAGGACCAGGGGGGTGTTCAGGCAACAGGGAAGGCGGGTTGCGGGTTTGTACCTGGTTGCATATAAATTTATATTCGCAAAATATTGTCGCCGAGATTACGTACCTTCGTTCTCGATGGCGGCCTCACTCTTTTTGATCTGGGTTGTACGGCTCCGATCTCCTCTGACGACATGCGTTTGCCTAGAAGCGAGGTAATACTCTCCTGCAGTACCCGGGTAGCTTCTTTGGAAATCTTAGCAGGAGAGCGTGAAGTGGAAGGGGGTTTCATCGGAGAAGGAGTTTCCGAAGATGGTATATGTGTATTTTGCATATCCTCTCTTAGCTCAGCTAGCGATAATTGGCCGGACGAGTTGCCGTCCTCCGAAGGAGCTGCTCGGTTGGCTTTGACGGGCGTAGAAGTATCCTGCAGGAGCCCGACAGGCTGACCGAAGGCCGACAGAAACTCGTCATCTTCAGTAGCTTCCAGATTCGTAGTGTCGAGAAGAGAAGTAATATGCATGGCTGCTGCCATGTTAGTCTAACCGTCAGATCGACCAAACGCTGGACTCACGATTATCACCGACCGCAGGCGGCATATCCATTTGCTTCCCTCCCACATTTGGCGCAGCCAGGCCAATGGGGTCGTCGTGCGCAACTAGTTGCCCTGAGGTGACGAGTTGTTCCAGCCAGCCCATATCTATGATTGGTATATTCCACTCCTTTGCTTTGTCATGTTTAGCACCTGTGCGTGAGGGACAGAGCAAATGGGTTGTACGACGCGAGAAAGACGGCGCGAAGTTTATTCCTATAAATGAATGGTTGAGCCGATGAACAGGCCAGTACTATTGGAATCCACCATACCGAGGGCTCGAACCAGTCGGCGCACCCAACACGCCTCCGATTCCTCTAGGCCAGATATGCTTAGGGAGAGGGATTGCGTTCCTGCGCGACATATGTAAGTGCTTCAGGTTCTGAACATAATGTGCCTCACCTAATATTGGTGTAGTTATCCTAAGCGGTGTGAAAGATATATGTTCATCTGGAGAACACACTCGTGACTCGGAAAAACAATGCTCCAGCCAGCATTCTGTGCGATAAAGCTTTCGAGAGCTTTCGTCGACTTCTTCCCTATAAATCTTACTTCCACTGAAAAGCAGTTAGATGTTAGCCACTCATAAGTATTGATGATTCTCACCTAACCAATCTAACGATAATGAAGTCGACCACTTCATCCGACGATTCTCCTACTACCTTGCCACCCGCCTCTTCCACAGCAGTCTTTACAATAGCACTCCTCGCTTCCCCGACAATCCGAAATACACAACCTGCAAAAAATCCTGAACGATGGCGTGAGGGTCCTGCTTCAGCGACGACATCGGGATCAAGCAGGCCCAGGAGATCTGGAGCTGGTATCCTCTCCACATGTGTTGGCATGGCTTCAGTCTAAGTAAAGTGTTCTCAGTAGTGCGAAGTTTAGTAGTGGGCAATACACACTTTTTTGAGCGGCTGAGATAATGCATGGGACGCAGACGAATGCGCACGCCGCAATTCCACCAATATGCTACGCTGTTGCACCACCATATCTTCGCCCGCTTGGGTTTTCAATGGACTTGTGGCTCGCGCCTTTCCCTTGCCTTTGGTAGGGGACTCTTCCAGGTGAACGACAGTCTGAGTGGAATAGCGTGGTTTTGTCGGGGTACGCATGAGCTTTCCTGCTTGAATCTCAAAGCCTCTCGGTCTTAACATACTCTCCCATATCTGCAACGTCACTGATGGTACTCGTTTCAGAGGCACTGCAGCCTCTTCAACGTCTTCATTCGGGCGACTTTCAGCATCCTCTTTGTCTGCATTGGTCTCATCTAGCGTGATACCCGGTGAAGAACGAGGAGGTGGGGTGGCAGCTATAGGGAGGCGTCAGTTTGAGCAAATAACTGCGGGTATTGAGTGACTCACGCTCTGGGCTTGGGCCACGTATGGGACGAGGTTTAGTGATATCGTAACTGTCTTCGTCGCATCTGCCTAAAGTATCGTCTATATAGTTCATCGAAGTGCCGACAGAAATGCGTACCACCGGCCCTCAAAGAATCCCAGAACCATTCTTCCCATATCATACGGATGTTAGCCTCTCGGTGTTTATTGAACTTGGCAGCGTATTGCATCTTTTCCGTCATAGCATCGGCTCCGCTCGAACACAATAAATGCGTTACTCTAACAGGACGTTCAATGTTCTTCACATAAGAACCCCCCTCATCTCTCACGCGCGCATTGATTTGCTGTCGCCTCTCAACATCTTCCTGACCGGAGACACACACTACAACGTTGTCGAATATGGGCAAACGGTGTGCGCGCACGCTCTGTGAGAGGAGAGACAGTCACAGCTGCTATAAGCTTCATGTACGGATGCTTGTAATATAACGGGCTATGACGAACCTCGTCAAGATCGACATCGTCCCCTTTGAGCCAGATGTCGTAACTGTCGGATATCCAAGACGGATGCATAATGGGAATCTTGAACTCCAATGCGCACTGACGAATAGTGCTCAGTCACAGCCATGTGGGCGACGACGTGGACTTACTTTGTACTTCGCGCTCCCTGGTTCAAGAGCCAAGAGGTGCGTCACTTTGTCTGTCAAGTCGTTCAGTGGTTGTGCTCCCAACTCAATGGCTTGTTTGAATAACGACATCTAGAGGGGTGCAGTGTCAGTGTGTCAAGTGGTTGAAAACTAGCCATTCAGTCGAGCGTACCTTATCGCTTATACCCGTCGCACACAGAACTACACCACGGAACGGCCGTGGAATGCGCATGTCCATGAGGCTTGCCTCCTGTTCTGAATCGAACCCGGAATCGGTACCTCGGAAGGAATCATGAGAATCGTGAGACTTCGTCTTGCGCGAGGACAGGGATGAGTTGGGTGCTGCAGGCCGAAGCTTCACATTTGGGACCTATACTGTTGTTAGAGATATGCGGAAGTAATACTGATTTGGATTCCTGTTACTTTGCTGGACTTGTTTCCACGGCGGAACACCATTATGATGATGGGCTATTATTTGAGGTGGCAAAGTACCAGAACATATAGGAATCGTGCAGATACAGAACAAGGGTATAGTAGCTCGTGAGCGCGGACAGTGGAAGACGGACGGCGATCAGGGATAGGTGGCTCCTCTGGACGAGTGCCCGTTGGCTGGGACCTCGGACGCGCCAAACAGATCATATTTAGGGCCGGCAGTTTCGCGTAGGCGCGCAATACAGTACTCAAGAATGAGTATCACTATACACTACTTTGAGCGCAGCCAAAAATCATCCTGAACACGGCTAGTACAAAGATGTTACAAGATAACCAAAACAGCGGACACTGGGGTAACTTGTGCTCGCGCTGAAAAAACAAACCTCCCTGGCGGGGAGTCGAACCCCGCTTTCGCGCGACCGCTAGGCGATGACAGGCGCGTGTACTAACCGATATACTACCAGGGATTATAACGAGCTCAATTTATTGCAACATGGATCGGAGACTCTGCTGAGTGTCATTTCTCCGCTGCCGTGTTGTGCTGTACCTCCTCAACCACCATGGCATCCCTGCACTTGAGGTCGCAATTCGTCCGAAATGTAACACGATATCCCTCTGCCCTCGCATCTACACGGGCTATGACAACGTCCTCGTCAGCGACACCCAGCGAACCCTTGACTCATTACCGCATCACGTCACGCCGCTCAGCCATCTCTTTGCCCAAACATATTAAAGGCACCCTCGTCTCGCTGGGCATCCACAGACGAATGCAGACTGTGTATCACGAACACTCGCCCATAAATGCGGGGAAGATTCTCGCGGTGAAGGAGCTGGTAGAGGTGGAGAACGTCCCTGCGTCTGCGGTCAGGACGAAGACGGAACAGAGGCAGGAGAGGAAGGCTCCAAGAGGATATCAGGTTGTGGGGTCGGCGTTGACGGGGCTCTAGGGTTGAGCAAGGCGATCTCAGTGAGTTTTATATGTTGTCGTGACCAACCGGGTGTTTATTGACCAGATCATTCTATACAGTGTCTATTATCATACACCTAATACTTGACACTTAGGCCAACCTCCATCTAACTTCAATTCTTACTCATTGAAAGAAAGCAGTTACCGCCTTTCACCGAATAGCTGCATGCAGTGGGACTTCAGCATCTTCTGACTGCGACCACAAATCCGACACAAATTGGTGAAAATAAAAAGGAGCTAGATTGAATAAGCCCTACAAATGAATACAGGTTCTTGCTAGTCTCGATAGATTTACAATGATGCCCTCTAAATTATCAGATTCCCCATTACAACCGGAAGAAACGGGAGTTCTTAGCGCCAGGAGTCTGGACGGGTACCGCGGTGGGTACTGCCTTGCTCTCGTAATGCGCCTTCACAACTGCACCAGCGACTGCGGCGGTGGTGCATGCGCCATCGTCTTGCCAGTCCCCAGCCGAGCCTGCGTTTTAAGTCGCGTGTCAGCTCTCAGGCTTCGTGAATGTGGCAATTAGAAGTGACTGACCTCCGGGGACATCACCGTAACTCCACCACTTGGCTGTCCAGAGGTGGCCTCCATAAACGACCTTATCGCCTCCATTGTACTAAGAAAAACCCGAGAAATTGTCATGATGCGGCCACATCCGAAGGAGGCGCGTGAACTCACTGCTACGTTGCTGACCCAGGCATTCACCGAAGCACAGCTGCCAGAAGACGGAGGGGGGACGCTGCTTGTCGTGGTGTGGGAGCTGCTGGTAGTCTTGGAAGTGGTCGTTGTAGTCGTGGTATGGCTGGTGGTGGGCGGAGCGGAGGTCGGTGCGCTAGCTCCTCCTTGCAGAGCAGACTTGACCGCAGCATCGAAACGACCGTTGGCTGCACACATTGACATCATTAGATGGGTCAATCGATGAGACCGCAAGGATATTGCTCACCGTAGGCCTGGCTGGCATCCCAGAACATCACACCTCCGAAGGAAGAGTAGGTTGCCTTGTATTGCTGGATTATAGGACCCAATGAGCTGATAGGCAGGTATCCGCTGCCAGCTGCCGACGAAGAAGCAGGGACACCGAGGTAGACCTTGACGTTTTTGTTAGGTGATTGCGTCTTTGCCCAGTTGTCCCTGAGAAATGTCAGCTATCCGCGACAAAACAAATGTAGTATATCCCCAATACTAACCATGTGGCGAAGTTGGCATTGGCGGTGCCGACGTTGCAGTAGTTGTTGTCTATAGTATACCGGTCAGCTTAGTTTAATGACCACTTCTGTCCCACACGCACAGAATTGAACATAGACGGCGTCGAATGCGACGGAGTTGATGAGGTCTCCAAGGTAGGCATCTGGGAAGGGGCACTGAGGGGCAGCGGTGATATAGTACCTATGAGAATGTGTGATGTTAGCGTCAGGATGTGGGGTTATAGTTTGTTTTTATTCACTTTTTGCTTGCGCTGTTCATGTGGCTTCTCAGCTGGTTGATGAAGGGGACGAAGTGCGCTGTCGAGCCTCCCTCGATATCGAGGTCAACACTGCAGATTAACCTCTGAGTAAACTGCCAGAAATGTGAGCCAGGAAACCTACCCATCCAAGACAGCGTTTCCGAAGGGACGCGTCGAGCTAGAGCCTCCAAGGAAAAGGTTCCAGATGGTGTCCGCGAAGGCTGTCGCCTGGGAGTCCGAACTGAACCCTGCAGCTCCCGTAGCACCACCCAGACTGATTGTGACAATCTTGCCCTTCGATTGGCAGGTCTGAATGGCTGATGCCAAGAAGCCACACTCTGGGAGCTGCGAGCCCGGAAAAACCGGGTCTGAACTCGCGCTACAGATCTGCAGTAGCTGTTTAGAGCCTGTCGAGGAATTTACGGATGAGGGGGCTTACGTTGGCCAGGTCAATGGAAGGAAGACCACCGGCTCCGAAGAACACTATTCATAGGGTTAGTGTTTGCGCATGAGGACAGATTGTTGACGACGCTGGAGCACTTACCATTCAAGAAGGCAACCGGGAAGGCATCGATAGAGTTGTCCTATGGACAATTTTGCTTGAGCCAGTGTTACGAACATATACGTTAACAAGAGGTGCATACCTGACAGTAGAAGTCGATGGACTTCTGCCAGTTAGCCTGGTTGCTGTTAGTTGCACCGTAAGAGTTTTGACCCCAGTAACTGCATGGCAATCATGAACACTAGTCAAAGTGGCTGATACACGTGAAATACATACGCGACCACCTGAGTGGGAAGTCAGAATAGGGTATGATTGAATACGACGAAAGTACGTACGTTGTCGTTCCTTGTGTTGTCATACGCATGCACAGGGGCCGACAAGGCAGAGAAGACAACACTGGTGAAGGCTACCAAGCGGGAGAAGTGAGAGGAGAACATCTCGGCTGGTACTCAAGCGATGAGGATGTGTTCGTTCAGCTCGACGAATCTTACGAGTCCTGACGTGCTTCTTATATATCGAGAGCCAGCACACTGCGTGGGTCATCTGTTCGACGGTTCACGAGGTACGTCCATTCTGCAGCATCTGCGTTATCGCTCGCTCAACCTGAGCTCTATACGTCAGACGGGCTGGTCCATGTGCGAGCCATGGTCGGCACCCCGAGCTTCAGCACCTAATCAAAATGGACATCATATTCAATAAGCTAGAGTTTGCATCGGCAGAGAGAAACGTACAAGCAGACCGGGTGGTCCATACGGTACCGCGCTCGGAAGCACATAAAGCCAGGTGAACAAACGTTCTTCCTCTGGCTTGAGGGTAGCATCTGACAGCTTTGAGCGAGTGCAATACCCACTAGAGCACCATTCGGTAGCATGCTGTCGTCGAGTATTTGACTTCGACGAACGATAAATTCGCCGAGGGTTGCACCCCGCGTGGTCACGGGCCCATTAGAGGTATTGAGGATGGAAGGCGGCGTATCGTCCTCAGGGCACGACTGAGATAACCATAGCGGGTTCCATAAGTGGGAGGTGTTTTTGTTGTCTACCAGCTCAAGGCGAGAGGTGACCACGACGGATAAGGTGGCGCACCACGCGGGTATGATCACTGCAAGTATCTCGGAGTGGGTGACTCATGTGTAAAGAACAGGATTAGCAGAAAGCAGCGTACCGGAGTCTACAACCCAGCAGAGTTCTGCTTCGAGAAGTCAGTCAGTATCATGTGGGTTTGTGTTACTTATTGCGATAAGCTCTGGTTAGGAGGGGCTTTGGGTTTACTTTATGTAGGAACGTTAATGCCAGATACTCATTGACTGTCCATACTGCCCTCTAGGTTGAATGATAAAGTAAGTCCTCAAGGCCATCAAAGTCAAGGATCAGTGCAGGCTGGTCACGACGGAATTCGAACGAAGTGTGCCTGTGCTACGTTGCCATAACAAGCGCTGGCCACGATATCTGCATATCGTGACCACTCTGACTACCCACTTAGGGTACACGCCCACATGAACACCGTACATCGCAATGCAGTATGCCCCCACGCGCGGACGTCCGCACACTGTTCTTGCTCTCGTGCCCTTACTTTAGGCTGCCGAGCACATGCAGCTCAACTCTCGCCAAGCGCTGTTCCTGGGTCTGAGTTCGTATCAGCGCTTGGAACGATATCGGCTACTGACAAGACTCGGGCGGAGGATCATAGGAAACGTGCACCTGGCATGACAAAACGAGAAGCTTGGAAGCACAAGAGGTAGCGAAGCATGCGACAGCATACAAAATAGACCGTCGAGTCATTTAAACATACATATCCTCTTCCTTCAGATCCGGAGCAAAGCCGTATGCTTTCCACATGAACGCAGCCTCCCAGTCTAGGGGTTGGTCTGTCAATGTTCCTACTTCGCCATGTCTTTGATAGATCGCATTATGCTGTGATAGATGGTTGTCAGAGTACAGTTATAGCTCAGCTATTTTTGCAGCAATACTTACTAATCCTAACGAAACCTTGATCCCAGGTGGTCCCGGAGTGTATTCCTCCAGATCAGTACCGGCACCAGCCATAAGCTCAGTGACGCTATTATGTGAGGCTTCCATCCGTCCTACCAGCTTCAGAATGTTGTTGGCTGCAAGCAGCCCCTACAGACGAGGTTCGTGAACAATCCTGCACACAACCATTGAGGACAAACCTGGGCGTGTGCGTTGTGTCCAGCATGTATCGCTCCGAACGCATTCGCTACATCCCCGATAGCGAAAATGTGTGGGGCAGCCACTTTCAAGCTTTCAGGCGAATCTTCTTCATGATCGACAATAGCTGCCTGCAGTGTTCGCGTTACCTGAACCGCACCAGCTTTCGGTCCGGAGGGGATGACACACTCTGGGAGCGCCGCGCTAATTAGTTCCGTGTTGGGTCTCTGACCCGTGCAGAGCAGCTGTGCGATCCGTGGTACATAAAATCAAAAGAAGGCAAGATATTCCGATGAGATACTGACCACCAGCCTTGCAGAGATCTCCCGTCCAGCCGTACTTTTGAGTACCTGCTCTTGCGTGCTGCTACTCACAGCGCCCG